AACTTATGGTACCACAACCCATGGTACCACAACCTATGGTACCACCACTTATGGTACCACCACCTATGGTACCACGCCCACCTTTACTTATCGCTATGGTGTATTGTTGTGTAGGGTTCGTCTTCACCAGGTCACCACCAGTTCGAGGGTCCGCCGCGAGGGTCGCTTCGCGTGAATTCAAAGCGCGCGCCGCACAACAGAAGAGGCGGCGCTTCCGGAGGCGGGGGTGGAGGTATTTCGCCGCCGTCGCTCTCCTTGATTACTTGCACGACGGGGGACCCGCTAATATTCTCTGAGACCAACCTTGACTGGTCGAAATTGAACATATTCAGGACGCGGTTGTGCGACCGACTGACGCAGACGAGGACGTGCCATATGTCTAACCGGTGTCTCTTCTCACATGAAGTTAATTGGCCGTACGCACTGCTAACCTTATAACCACTCCCTAACACCTGACGTCCTCCCTAACACCTGACGTCCCGTGCCACACACATGATATATCACACACTTGACGTCCCGTGCCACACACATGATATATCACACATGTGTGTAGGAGAAGGACACCGTTCTTACCGCGGGCGTCGGCTTTGACGCTTCGCTATATACCGGTTTGGTGTCCGCGTTTATCGTGGCCGGCATTGCGTGGAGTGTGTGAAAGTTCAGGAAAGATCGCGTGGTGTTCAGCGGATCGTTCAAGTTCAGCGGAGAGTTGTCCTAGAGGTGAGAACTGTCCGTTTGTACATAGCGTAGAAGAATTTCTATACCATCCGGAAGTGTACAAGACAAGAAGTTGTTGTTTAGCAAATGACGAGAACTTTGATGAAGAATTACATTCTGCTAATTGTGTTGCATTATGTCCATGGTATTTCTGTCCGTTTGCACACGATGGTTATGAGATACGTGACCTAAGGGCTGCTCGTTATGCCTGGTATCCGCCACCTCAAATTGTAGATAACCAATACGTTGCAAGAACGCAAGGATTTGATGCATTAGAAATGGCTGTCATAGACTTCGTACGACGTGCACCACATGGTGCTGTAGCACTCTACACCTCACCACAAAGCCCTCTATGGGCTACACAGAGGCTCGCACCTGTCTTGCTACCAGCACCAGGAAGCTCACTCGGAGCACTCGTCGGATCTGCCAGCCACCGGGTTGCACCCTTCGATCAACTACTCTACCTCATGGCCGTAGCATCGCTACTCAACCTCGTCCTATACCCCGTCGAGAACTTTTACGTACCCACCCTACTCTCGCTACAATGCGCACTCCTTCAGTACCAACTCGGTCTGGACCTCACCCTCCCCGTAGACGCCGCCACACTACTCGCCTCCTACGAAAAACTAGGCAACAACCATTTAGGTCGTGATAACCATTTAGGTCGTGATAACCATTTAGGTGGTAGTGGTGGCGACTATTTAGGTTCGGACCAAACAAGTTTATCTCCCACCGCAGGCTTGCCTACAACAAACTTGCCTCCCAAAAGTGCGTCCAGTCTGGATGCGGCCGGTCTGAGCAGTGGTGGGAACAGTTTGCCCAATATTCTATATGCTACTGACGGCTTGCTAGAAGGTGGCAGATCGCCTAAGGCTTCCTCGGACGTCTTCTGTAAAAATCCGGCCTTCTCAAAATCCGGTGGCACAGATGATGGTTCAGAAGGAAGGTCTCCTTCAAGCACTCGAGCACCCTCACCCACTGAGAACTTAGATTTCCAAAGCTTGATTGACTTACTAAAGAACGAAGACATACTGAAAATGGTTCTCGAAGGAGGACATCATCATGATGGGCACTAGGTAGCTATGAGCCCCTTCTTTTTTTCCCTAGCTAGCAACAATTTTAGTAGGAATGATCTGGCGTCGGTAACACACATAGTCAACACACACATAGTCAACACACACACAGTCAACACAAACACATCATACCAACACACACACACATCATACCACACACACATCATACCACACACACATCATACCACACACACATCATACCACACACACATAGTCAACACATGATATTAGTTCAGGCTCCTATCTGTCATATTAGTTCAGGCTCCTATCTGTCTATCTTATCTGATCGGTATCATACTAACGGTATCTGGCTGCTTTTTTACATCACTTGCAAGTGTCTGGGAAAAGTACAGTAGCAGTAGTAAGCACTTCAATTACATCAATTACATCAACCAATCAATGACATCAATGAC